TTTGAACCTTGACTCTGTTATTTGCTACCTGTGCGATCTCAGCCGAGGTATTTCACCACTCTTTAAGTTTCATTTTCCTCATACGTAAAGTGCGTGTAACAGCACTTTTACCAGAATTTTTATGATAAGTAAATGACATACTTTGTGTAAAGTGTTTAGCATGGTTCCTGCTTCATGCTGAGCTCAATAAATCCTGACTATTATTACTGTTACTGTTAAAATTTCTCCCTAGGCTACAATGCAAAACAAAAACTCAAACAAAACAAACCCTTCTACTTCTGCTCAACCATCTACTTCACTTCCCCTTTCTCTACCCACCTCTTAGTTTCCCTGCTTTGAATTAACTCTAAAGAAATAACTGACAATTCACACAAACCAGAATCAAAACTTAGAGTTGTTGCAATAGTACACAGAATTAAACATCTGCAAACTACAATTCTGTATAAGGGAACTCATGGCTGGGGAAGAATTAAGTGTCTAATGACAAATGCCAAAGAGACCTAAGGCCTTATTAAAATGCTTGTTTTTAGGGTAAGGACTGTGTCGGATTCATCCTTGCATTCCCAGTGCCAAGCACAAGGCTTGGTGTGTAGTAGTTGCACCCAGGCTTTGAGTAATTTAATTCTACAAATGGGGAGTACATGATCTTAAGGGGATGAAAGGGGAAGAAATGTATACATTCTGGACATTAACTGACATGTCGAGTTAGTGATTCTTTTCTAAATTAAGAGTCTGAAGATTCACTTTGGTATGAATGAAGGTGTGGAATGAAGAAATGGCTCAAGCTCTCGAATAACTGTGTCTTTCTACAGTACATCATCTTACCTTAGATTAGACTGAGTAGGCTCCGTGCTTGAGGATGGCTCAAGACTGATAGGAAGGATCTTATCATTCTTGTTATGATCATATCTCTGAAAGTAAGAAAAAGGGAAATTACTTCACCTTAGCAGAAACCAGCCCTTTACTGTAGTGCATGGGTTCAGAAACTCTAATGCCACCAGTGTATCATCAGCATGTTTCTAGACAATTTTAAGACTACTTTATCTTTAGGATTAATGCAAAAATCCATATAGTTTTGGCCTAAAACTTGTAAGTTTAGAAAACGAAGTTGAGAAGCAGCTTCCGTCTAGACATCAGTTCCTCCTTATTTGGTAGGAAAGTAATTTCAACTTTCAAATCCCCAGATGGTACAAATACACAGCAGGGTTGTCCTCCTACATTCTTCTTTAAACTGTCACATATTATTATCTCTTACAATATTTACTTTGTTTTATTCAAAACACTTTAAATTTTACAAAGTACCAAGCATAATATTCGACTCTTTTTTTTCCCCTGTTGTCTGGGTTAGAGTGCAGCATCATCACAGCTCGCTGCAGCTTCCAACTCTTAGGCTCAAGCGATCCTCCTACCTCAGCCTCCTGAGTAGCTGAGACTACAAACATGCACCACCATGCCTGCCTAATTTTTTTTTTTTTTGTAGAGACGAGGTCTTGCTATTGCCCAGGCTGGTCTCGAACTCCTGGGCTCAAGTGATCCTCCTGCCTTAGCCTCCCAAAATGCTAGGATTATAGACATGAGCCGCCACACCTGGCCATAATATTAAACTCTTAACAGGCCTGAGTGGAGAATAAAAGTAGTAACAGTTTTCAGTTGCTGAAAACATTATACAGTGAAGGAGTAGCTTAATTTGATGTCAGATAATTATATACTTCTTATAAAAAGTAAATATAAAAAAGCAATCAAGAGCATCTGGTCAAAAAATTTACAGGAGAAGAGAACCCTGAGGCACAGAGATTTTCAAATGAAAGACAGGAATGAAGGATGATTTCTCTTGCGTGCCTTTTCAATGAGACGCAGAATGAGAAAATGACAGTCAGTTTGGCAAATGAGACTTAATTCTGAGTAAAAAACTATTCAGTAATTCTCTTTGTTTCTATTTTTAAGGTAATGTGTCCTAGAAATTAAGAAGGCTCTGTGATTACCTGAAATACTAAGAAGGATCCAAAGTGTCTCTGTTTTTTGGCCTGGACATAGAGTTTAAATGTCTGTTTAGTCTCTGTGACTCTTTACTGGGAAGCTTGTTGGGAGAGGGAAGAGTGTCTCTGACCCATAACCAAGCTCATATAGCTAAAGATTTAAGTTCCAACACTGTCACAAATCTTTTCACAGGCAGGTCAAGTCTCTACTGCAGAAAGAGGAGAATCAACTCTTGGGACTGCTCCAGTCCACACACTTCACCACTTCTGTGCTAGTTGGAACAGAATGCCATTCATTTTTTTTTTTTTAATGGCCACAGCTTTTCTAGTGCATTCTCCCCAAGAGACCAACTACAGAATGAACAGGGCAGCTTGCCATTTCTCAGGGCTTGGAGACAATATAGGCGCTGCAAAGTCCCACAAACCCACACCCTAAAAATTCTCAAGATCTCTGGAATAAGGAGATGCCTGTGCTTTAAGCACTCATACAAACTATTCACTTCTCAAGCATTTAGAATAAACAAATTCAAACTCTCCACAGACTCCAAAAGCTGGGAAGAGTCTAATAATGCCCGAGGCAACTAATTTTAAAAATAAATACCCTTTTTCTTCCACAGAACAAACCTCCACCAAAAAAATGATAGAGGTCTGAGTATACACATCAGCCACATGGAAAAATCAATCAAAAACAGGATCTGTGGGCATGTGGAGAGAAATAATGAAGGAACTTAATCCCTCCTGAGATGCTTCTCAAAAGAAAAATCTGGCAACACACATGGTAAATACAAGTAGGAGACCAAACTATGGCTGTTCCAGATGTGAAGAGGCTGGGATGCAAATGGGTAAGTGGACAACTGTCTTTCAGAAGACTTGCTTAGGATGAGGCTTCATGTTGTCCTTCTAGCATCTAAAGGGTCTGAGACGTACCTTCACTTGAGCATGTGCCCATCGCACCACCAGCTTCTTAGACAGAGCCAGCTTGCCATTGAGACACTGGATGGCTTGTTCTGCTTCCTGTCCAGGAAAGGGACAAATGTTAGTAAAAACTTTCAAGTGCTTAACTAGCTATATGTATTTCACAGGGCCTCACTACCTTTGGTGGCTGAGTTTCTAACCAAATTGCTTTTGGCAAATAATTGGCAAGGGTTTACAATTTAAAAAGGCAGAATAGCAAAAAGGGCATTAATTTTTTAAAGTGACACAAAAATTCAAATCCTGGCTCTGTCACTTGCTAGCAGCATGCTGTCTGGCAGGTCACTTAATGTCTCTAGCTTTGCCACTTGTAAAATATGGATAATAATACTTGTTCCTCAGTGGTGGTGTGAGGACTCGAGCAGTACATGTAAAGCATGGAGCACAGGGTACGCACTTACAAATGCCAGCTAATACTGCTGTTCTTATTAGGTGATACCTTTCTATACGCTTCCATTAGTTAGGGTAGCATCTACTATGTCAAGAAACTGTACTCCTCCAGGGACCCTGGAACTATATCCTGGACTAGGGCTTACTCCCTGGAACCAGAATGAGGAACATTAATGGCATCAAAGGATATGTGGGTGAAGGAAACTAGGCCGGAAAAAGCAGGAGTGAGTCAAAGAGACTGTTAGCAAGGTATTTGTGTGAGTCAATCTACGCACCTGGTTTTCAGAGCCAAAAGTTCCCTGACCCTTTCCCCATCAGATATAGGAGCAACAAGGTTGAAAGGAATTCCTGAAGCTGGAAAATAGTCACTTTAGGTCATTCCCAGGAAACCTGGCTGTACTTTCCCATCCTGCCAAATCTTTGCCTCATTGGTAACCACGAGGCATTCAGCCAAATGTAACCCATGTTTAGTGAGGGTGAAGAAGCCCTTACGGAACAGAAGAGGATTAAGGTGTCCTAGAAGGCAGGGAGAGTCTATATGAGACTGAGGCGTAATACCAGTAGGCATTCCAGTCTGGTTTTACCTGTGATTCTCTTTTTCCTTCAGAGCTCACCAGTATGACATTTAACAAATATTTATTGAGTACCCACTAAGTGTCAGTCATTGGTTATTCCCTGGCCATCCTTGCCCCACTACAGCACAAGTTAGAGCGACAGAGAAGCAACGTTTTATTCTTTTAGGTTTCATTTGGTGAATTAGAACTTACAGGGCACTCTATTAGTTTTGAAGTATCAGCAGTGATAAGACACCAGTAGGGGATAGTGTTTTTTTTTTTTTTTAGGGGATAGTGTTTTAAAAAATAATTTCCTATCTCTGTACATGGTTTCAAAGTTCATGTATTCAATAGTGTTACTAAATGCCAACTGTGTTTCCTTATGTATCCTCATCTAGTCTTCCAACTTCTTATAAAGTAAGGAGGGTGTGTATTTTTAATCCCCATTTTTAGATGAAAATCGAGGTCAAAAGAGGTTAAGAGACTTGCTCAAAGTTAATAAATAAAAGAGCCAGAAATATAAGCTAGGCTTTGTGACTTTTAGTTCAGTGTTTTTAAACCAACATCTATCCCCAACATTACCACTGATTTTAGCTGTCTGCAAGAATTCTCATCACACTCTATCATTAAGGAAGAATAAAGTACTTAAGAACGCTAATCCTATAGGGCATTCTTTCACTTCTCTCAAAAAAACTTGAATAACAATGTATCACTTATTGGCTATCATATTTACAAAAATTAGAGAAAATAAAAAATACCCAACACTGGTAAGGACAATGATACTCTCATACATCTCAGAATATACTCATGTATCATTTCTCGAAGGCAATTGGCAGTTGTATTAAGAAAAAATATGCATGGCCTTTGATGATGCCATTCCATTTCCAAAAATGTATTAAACATACACATAGTTAGGGCTATAAAAATAGTCACTAGTGTGATGTTTATACTAGTGAATCATTAGGCACAACTCAAATATCTAACAATTGGGAATTAGTCAAATATCTTATACTAATGATGTTGATTAATTTTTAACTGCAGTCTAAGTTACATAAAATAACATGCACGAATCTCTGATAAAGATCAATGATCTTACACATACACGTACATGTACAAACACCAGTGAACCCAAAATATCATCATACAGAATGTTATCTTGATGTGATTAAATGGCAGAAAAATTTTAACATGCTTTGAGTGATAAACATGATAATATGATCCTATTTTTGTGTTATACACTGTATATGTGTTTGTGTGTGTGGATGTGAAGCTAGAAAAAAAGACCGGAAAGATGTATGACTAAAAATATTAACGGTGATCCTTTCTGGGTCTTGGCCTAAGTGATCTAAATTTTCTTTTTTGGTTATCTATATTTTTATCTATAATAAGCACATATTACTTTTACAATAAAAAAACCACTCATACAAATTATTATCAATAAAACGATAATTAGGCAATGTTTTTATATACGATGAATAAAGTTATAGAGAGTATTAAGCAGCATCTGTATATTTAGTACATTCAAATTCAATTTATCAATGCATTTCCACTCCAAGGACTAAATTTTAATACAAGGAGATACACATATATATCATGGTTCAAGCAGAATGTACTCTTCCTCTCTCTGTATTAAAATTTATATGCATTTGTTCTGAAACATTGAGAAAGGTATATTTTTAAGAGATCAAAATAAGAGAGTTTGTGGGGGAGGAAGAGGATGGGTAAATTCACACCTAATGGGTACAATGCATGCTATCTGGGGGATGGGCACACTTACAACTTTGACTCAAATGGTACAAAACCAATTTATGTAACTAAAATGTTTGTACCCCCGTAATACTCTGATATTAAAAATAAGAAGTTTGTGGGTGGCTCACCAGATAGGTTTCTATACCACAGGACAAAACTACTGAAAGAAAAGGAGGCTTTGTAGACCAGCCACTAAAGGAACAAGCAAACAGAATAGAGAGGGGGATGTCCATGTGCTCAGTGTGGGCAACTCAAAGCGTTTCGTCAGAAAAGTAGTCAGTCAGTCACATTAAACCTTGAGACAAGGGAGGGTAAATTCTGAATGCTGTTCCCTAATTTATTTGTTTACTGAGGATCTCTTCTAGGACTAATATAAGGTACACATAGATGAATCAGACATGGCTGCTGCCCATAAGGAACTGCTGTTCTAGCAGTCAAGAGAGATGCCCGAATAATTATGAGAGTTTGAGAAGTACTAGGATAAGGGGAGGAAGTTCAATTACCTGCTTAGTTTCAAAGTTAACGAAACAGTACCCTCGAGGCTGTCCCTCCAAAGCACCTGATTTGTGGAAGAGGAAGTCAAACTGCTTTACCTTCCCAAACTTCTGGAGGAGCTTGAGGAGGTGGTATCTGTGGAAAAAGAAGAGCCCATTAGTATGCTCCGAATTTTGTTGGCTACTCAGCCTGAAGTGCTAGATAAAAGCAGGAGATAATTTACCCCAGGGATAAAATCTCTCGCCCTGCCCTGTGCCTTCCTCCAAACTGCTGTGTTAGTTTATTTGGCAAACGGAATTGTTTGCCTGTATTTGGAATGGGAACTAGAATTGTCACGGCTATGCGTCTATCCAACACAAAAATACCAAACAAAAAAAGAACCACACCTTACAAACAGCTGTCTGGCCCACAAGTACCATTTGTTTTTCTTTTGGAGAAAAGCTCAAAAATAGTGTCGATTTATTTATTTTTAATTTCTTGGCATTGAAATAGCATTTGTGAATAACTATAACTCCATCAGAAACACACCCCTACAATCTAAAGGCCAAAATCCTACCCTATCTCAAAAATAAACAAAGTAACAAACACATACACATTCACACAAATGAAAAAACAGTCCTGGAAGACTTTCTTATTAGATTTTGTAGTTAATTATTAGACCCAAATTGCACTTGTGAGAAGGTGTCAAAAATTAAACCACAGCTAGTCACACTTCCATAAGTGCTTGAGAGTTTCAATCCCTGATGTGACTGAATATTAGGACAATGTGGAACCACTATATGACTGAGACTGGTCTTACATAGGGCAGAGGAACCTGGCCAGTCCTATAAATCATTCAGCCATGGGTAATTATACAGCCTTAGTTGCCTTAACACAGTTTATACTCTGAGGTATAGTCAAGTAAAGAATATAGGTGGTCAAGGAAGAATTTATTCCTGGTAGGATATTCACCCCAAGCTATTGCTTGCCACTCTGCCTCTCATCCTCTTCTTGGATTCCTTATTCAAAAACTTATTTGGTTTCTATAGAGCTTTTAAGTTATTCAAACAGATGTGGCCTTAACAGGTTGCTGTGGCCAATCTCAATTCCGACTTCCTGTCATCTGATGTAAGGGTGAGACAAACCAACAGCTCTCCCGTTTCCTTTTCCTTTGGCCTTCCTCCTGGCATCCTCTGTGCTATTCAAATGGAGTCAAGGCTTTCTCTAAACAATGCTGTCCCTGTGATACTAAAAAGGTATCAGCCCACATGCTAAATCTGTTATTACTGGGAATTCTACCCCACAGGGAGTCAGTAAAGTTGTCGTGATAGCCACATTTATATTCACATTGTTTTCTAGGAGAAACTCATCAAGATTTCATTCTTGAGCAAGCATCTCCTTTGGGAGGCAGAAAGATATGAAATGGATCATAAACTATACTAAATTTGATACTAATGCACATCAACAAGCAAGTCCATTATACTGGATCAGGTGTCTGACACAAAGGAACAAGGAAGACATTATACAGGTTTAGCACTGGGGCAGGATGCAAGGATCCCAAGGCATATTGGGATTAACCTGGTCTTTGGACCTGTTTTGAAAGGGAAAACAACCATGATTCCCTGCTTTCTAAATTCCCAACTGCATCAGGAGACCTCAATCACTAGTGACAATGTAAGTGGTGATTCTTCAGAGGAAAGGGAGACACCTCAAGTGCAAATTTCTGGTTTTACTTGATTTTTTGAATACACTTATGGCAAGGGTGAGTCTCTCAGATACACAGATGGGCTGGAAGAGTTTCTCCCGGGATCTTTAGTTCACAGCTGCATGTTCTACTTACTATACCCATTCAAACCTTAACACTGTGTCAGATGCCATAGAATAGGGGGTCAAACCCATTCTTAAAAAACAATCTAAGGGCTACTGTGGGTTGGTCATCTTTTTCATTAGCTCCACTCTGCTTAATAGCAGGAAGGTAATGTGATTGGCATTTCCTAAGAAACGAATTTTAATTTACTTAAAAAAAAAATGCCGACAGATTATTCTTTGTAAAGCTAACAAACACATTCTGTCCGAGAAGTGCGACCTTAAGATTCCAGGAACATCTGCTTAGGTCTGTGTCTTTCAGCTTCTCCAGGATTTCTTTTCTTTTCTGATAATTTCTTGAAATTATAGGAACACCGAAACAAAAGGAATGAAATGTTTACTATTTTGCTTCCTGGAGATGGGGACTGCAAGCTCTGATAGTGAAAAAAGCCTGAAGGATCCTGCTTTCACATCTGCAAGCACTTTTATCTGCTGCTGAAGTGTGGGAGAGCTCACTACCCAGCAGAGGCTTGCTTTACTTAATGAGATTTGCTTTGCAGCCTTGAGGAGCTAGAGAGTTAGCTCACCAACCCCTCCTCCCCATTTCTGTATCTTAGTGTTTTCTAGAATGAGTCTTTAAAACAACTTTCCTGACTAATGGCACATTAATAACTAACTTATGCAAATGTTAAAACAGACACATACTATGTGTTGAGAACCAATTAGGCACTTGGACTATCCAGGTGAATAAAAGTAGGTTTCTGTCTTCAAGGACCTCATATTTTGATTAGGGGAGAGATACGTAGGCAAACAATTACAAAAAAGTGTGATACTTGCACATAGAGGTATGTACATGAGCACCACAGAAGGAGGAGGCCCAATGGTGCAGGAAAGGTGGTGGTTACAGAAAGCTTCATGAAAGGAGATCTAGAACTGGGCACAATGGCACATCCCTATAACCCCAACTCAGGAGGCTGAGGTGGGAGGATAGTCCATAGCTCAAGCCCAAGAGTTCAAGATCAGCCTGGGCAACATAGCAAGACCTTGTCTCAGTAAAAAAAGAGGGAGTGATATCTAAGTGGACTGTGTCAGTGTGAGTGAATATACATGCAAAGACATAAAGGTGAAAAAGAGTTTGATTCACTGAAAAAGAGTGGGGGTAGACAGTAAGACGAGGCTGAAAGGAAGGCGAAGCACAGGTTGTGAAGGATGTTGTGTGCTTAGGGAATTTTTTTTTTTCTTTTTTAAGAGATGGAGTCTCACTCTGTTGCCCAGGCTGGAGTACAGTGGTGTGATCACAGTTCACTGCAGCCTCGAATTCCTGAGTAGCTGGGATTACAGGCATGCACCACCTTGCCCAGCCAGGAATTTTAATTTCATGTTGTAGGTAATGGGAAGCCCATAAAATGACATTTAAGATTATTTTTAGTATACCATTTGTTTTAGAGAAAATTTTACAAGATTATTATGAGGAGGGTTTTCATGTTCTATGCTACGTACATTATTAAATGGTCTTATTGTGTTTCCAATTTAAGTAAGCAAACAGTAAAAGCTGTTCCTTGCAAACCAAAACATGAAAAGAAGCATGGACAGTGAAGGAAAAACAAGGAATGGGCTGAGAGAGAAACACGGGTTTCTTCAGGGGTAAACACATTGTTCTTGCATGCTCATGCATTTGTTGTCCCTTGCATTCTAGCCTACCTAGTTTGTCCCTGAAAGTCTGTATCAGGACTTACTATCTGAATGACTCCCCATTGTTTTTAAGTTTACTTAACACACACCAAACCAGCCTCCTCCCTATGAACTGATGATCCTTTCCAGCTATCCCACTGGTCAGTGCTGACATGATTCTTCTACATTCTTCACGCAAGAAACCTCAGGATCATCTTCAACTTTCCACTGCTTTTCAATCACTTTCTTCATCTCTCAGACTCACCCACTGGTCTCCAAGTTCACTGTCTCTATCTAGCAGGGTTGGTTTATGGCAGTATTTCCTAACTAATCTTCATCTTCAGTTTCTGCCCCTTCAAGTCATCCTACACAACGATGTTGAATTTCCCTACTAAAACATCACTTCCATGATGTCAGTCTCCTGCTAAACACCCACAATAAGTCTTTTCTACCTGAAGTTCAAACTTGTCTGAATAAATTTTAAAAACTGTCTTAATCTGATAATATTC